ATCCGTCTCTAAAGTGGCATAAGGAGATGAAAATCCATCCAAAACATCAAATGACAGTTTGGATCAAAACCCAACTCTAGAGGAGAGGAAACTTATGTTTTTTACAAAGCTAAAATTGTATTTATAAAGAACAAAAACGGAACTGGTCTGCATCTATCACGTGCGCTCAACGCCTGAGCTCAATGTGGAGCACTGGTTTGAAAGGTGAAAAATCTGGTCTGCAACATCTATCACCTACGCTCAACGCCTGAGTTCAATATGGAGCACTGTTTTGGAAAGTGAGATTTCTAAAATCTTTTTGCTCCTTTCTTCAATCCACTTGAAACTTCTTTGCTCCACATGAATTTCCTCATCTTCTAGCATCCAAATTGGCTCACCAAAGTGTTCTCCAAGTGCTAACTTTAACCAACTCTCCAAAGTACCTAAATAGAAACAAAAAATGCACAAAATGCAAAGAAATGGATCCTAGACTCTAAAATGATGTTAAATATGAAATGAGACTCAAAATGCAAATGAACACACTAATATGATGCATAAAGATACCAAATGCACATGAATGTATGCCATGTAAATGCACATGAATGTATGCCATGTAGATGGCCAGATTAAGGATGGTTTCAACCTTGGCCACGAGACAGATCTCGGCTGAGGAGGATATAAAGGAAATCGGAGGCAGAGGTAACTTTGTAGCCCATGGAGCAGAGGTTGAAACCCTAGGCTGAGAGTTGGGTTCAGATCCTGTACCAACGCAACCAACTTGATTGGCGGGGGAGAAGACGCTTAAGGCTGGATTGGAGGGAGATGGTAGTCGGAGCAGAGCCAAATCTCATACCGGAGCATAAGACTTTAACGGTGAGAGAGGACTTTGCTGGGTCGGAGAAATTAGAGTGGAAAGATGAGGTTCTTACAGTCCGTAGAGCAAAGATTGAAGCTACAGATTGAGCTGGGTTGAAAGCATGGTGAGGGAGCGAGGTGATAGGTCTCGCCGGTGGGGAGGTCGGACTCAATTCGATTTCTCTTCCGTAGAAGTTGAAGCGCAAATCCGGCGAAGGAGAGGATTTTGCCGTCGGCGGAGCAAAACTTGAAGCCGGAGACGGAGCTGGAGGTAGGGTAATCTCCTCGTCGTTAAGACCACGACAGAGATGGTGGTGGAAAGAGCTGGGCGAGCACGACGGTGCAGCAGGTGTAGTTGGGTCTGGCGGATCAGACGGCTTAAGTGAACCTCGCCTGAGAATGCTCCGTCATCTCGAAGTAACGAGAGGAGGGTGCGGAGGACACAACGCGGAGCCGAGCCAAAGGCTCAACTAAAGCCATCATGGGGAGGGGGATTGATCGGAGGGTTGGTTTCTTCCGGTGAAGAAGCACATCGGCAAAAGGCCAGTGAGAGGTCTTCCTAACGCAGGTCGAAAGAAACAGAATGCCGGTCATTCGGAGATGTCGACGACGACTCCTCAGGACCCGGGTCTGAGAACATTCTCTAGGGCGAACTGCGACAAAAAACGAGTGTAGCAAAATAATAGCTATTACTGAGAATTCATATAAATTAACCATGAATTTGGTGATATCATCTCAGAATCGTTATACCTTTAAAAACTGATAATCTCCACCCAAAAAGTAAACTCTTACTTTCATAAATGTGAACAAGTCGTTGTAACTTTAACATAGCTAACATAATTTCAATGAATAATGTTTATATATATAA